ATTTCTTATTAATCAAGTCAGAGCAGCTCTTTAAAAAATCAGTTTCACGTATTCGTGACTCGTGGCGAGAACGCTTTACAATTATTGTGTCGGAGGTTTCCAGGGGTTACCCGACAAATATGGTGCGCCCCTCTTTTTTTTTTTTTTTTATAATAACTATACGCGTATCAATTCTATTCCACGTGTGTATCACCGTGTGTATAACACTTACACCGTAAACGCTCGAATCGTACCATTCTCATATACACTTTATATAAGATGCGGTGTTCCTTGACAAGAGGATGAACAACGACGCGATGGTTCATCCCCTGTTTGTTCGTGTTCGAGGAACAAGCGAGCACAAAGAAAAAGGACCAAAAAACCAAGGGAGAGATGCTGGACGCAACAAACGAGCGTGATTCTTCATATTTCGTTTAACTAGTTCACGTGTTTCTTTTTTTCTTTTTTTTTTTTTTTTCTTTTTTACCTACATGTACGTGTACGCGCGCACCACATACGCGTATCGCATTATAATGTCGTGTGCGCGCGTGTTAGAGATCAAAGGTTTGCATTGTCGCTTAAGAAATCACGTTTTTACTCTTATGGAACTTAACGTTCCTCGATTATTACGGATTTTTATGCGTTTTTTTTTTTTTTTTTTCTTTGTTTCCAGGTGGAATATGAAATCGGATCCGACGATGTACAAAATGACAATGTACAGTATGCGAGGCTATATAAAAAGAAACGTCCACAGCACTTAGCAAATGAAACAATTTCGCTATTTAGATTCTGTTATTCTTTAGATATATTCATAAAAATACGAGGTTGCATAAAAATCCGCGGTTCAATTACATGTCATAGAGAGAAAGGGAGGGAGGGATAGAGAGAACAAATTAATTAAAAAAAAAAAAAAAAAAAAAAAAAACGCACAACCTCTTGAGACAGGACGTATTAAAAGCGTGCAGTGGCTCGACGATTATTATTAAACTGCCGCTGCAACTAACCCATGAATTGAGAATCGACGAATTGCTCTTGGAGAAAAGAAAAAAAAATTTGTAATATTGACAATCAGCGTGGTAGAAGGGTGGTAAAACTGTAAATCGTTGAGGTACGAAAATCAGCCACTTTTCATTTTAAAATCGTCCGCCATTCATTTCATGAGGGACAATTTCTGTTTCTTATTTCACTCTTTTTTTTTTTTTTTTTTTCTTTTTAATGTTTCTTTATATATGTATATATATACAAATCGAGGTACACATACAAATGAAATACAAGACGGTCATAGATGTCGTTAGAACTCGGTTCGATTAAAATTAGATGTACGAACGTAATGATGAAAAACGCAATCGATGAAATCGAGGGATTTGTATGATGTACAATTGACGCGCGAACGATGAAACAGGCTAAAATATTTTTACGCGTGAAAGACGTTATTGTATTCTCCTTTTTTCTTTCTCTTCACACGTGCACACACTCAACCACACACGCGCACACTTTCATTCGTTTTTCATTTGCTCTTTCTCTTTCTCTCTCTCTCTCTCTCTCTCTCTCTCTCTCT